CCACTGACGTCCTGCTTAGAGGGCATGGCCAAAAAGACTGAGGCTCTCTGGGACAAGCCCCTCCCCTCCAGGATTGAAAGTACTGTCAACCCTGCCCTCGGAGAGGAGGAGCCGTATTCCCAGAAGTGAGGACTGCCCCACTCCCGGGGCCACTGGAGGAATTAAATTCTATACACAGAAAATTAGACCACCAGGGGAAAAGCCTAGGCATGCAGCTTACTTTGTATGGTCTTTAACTATGATCACAACACCTAATATTTATAAAGTTATTTTATGATTATATTAGTGTTATGTGTAAGGTCATTTAGGCTCACCATATTTGGATGAAACCTAATAGGTCATTTAGGCTCACCATATTTGGATGATCCTGGATTCATTGAGCCTGGAGATGCAAGTCACAGCATGTGCTTCGAACGGCTCCACTTACTAAGAGGGCTGTGAGATTCTCTCACGGATGCAGACCTAGAGACTGTGAGATTATTGTAATGTGCTTTATACAAGGCTGCCCTTGATGACCATTCAGTGACCTTAGCTGAGACAGACTGTTACTATTTGCTTTGAGATGTGGCTGTTGTTACAGCACATTGTACTACACTCCAGCATTTGCACTGACTCCTGGTTGCCTTCTGAATAAGATGTTGCTGCTGATGACTATGTCTTCAATGGCTTGGGCCCAACATATCTGCCTATATGCCATCACAGCTTTAAGGAAGTTCTGGGAAAGTCTCTCATAAGTATACCACCTATGTGCCAAATCAGGTCAGGTGCAGAGAGACACTCTCAGTAGCTGCCACATGATTCTGGAGTTCTATTTCCCTGGAGATGCTCAGTCTGCATTCCAGGAGCAATATAAGATCCTTTGGTGGAGAATAGGGCAGAAAGCCTACATCATTTTTACCCACCCTGAGCTCTTGAGTGGGAGAAGGTATAAGCACAACTAATTAGACAAGAATCTGGGCATGCACATCCTCAGTCACTGTGAATGAAAACATGCTGCAACAAACAACTCTTTGTTCCTCCATAACAACAAAGCATCTCATGTTTGTTCAGAGACTATGACGACAATTCTCAACACATTTCAACGAGTTTCTCATATTGTTCAGGCTTTCATCGAGCCTAAACTTTCAACAAAAACTAGCATAACAATGTCTGCTAAATACATGTTTAAAGGTTCAATTTCCATAATGCCTATAAACAATGTTCCCTCTAAGCTGTGGACAAAAGATTAAGCACTGCAGCTAGGTAACCTCTTCAAGTATAGTTTTTAAAAAACTCTTTCCACTAGGAAAGTATTACTGCTGTTTGTTATACTGTCACATAGGGCGTTCCGACAACTAATTTTAACCTGTTCCTGGAATGTTTATCTCACTATTTAGTTGTTATAGTCAATAGTAAAAGGTTCCCTTGCTCGAAAGCTTAACCTGTTCCTGGAATGTTTATCTCACTGTTTAGTTGTTATAGTCAATAGTACCAATATGGAATTCCCTTCATCATACGTAATTAACTTATTCGGATGGAGTGTGACTCTGCGCAGTATGACTGAAAATTTCATCATGATTTTCTCTTCTGCTGTAATTACGGTGAGCTGCTGAGTTTTCTCGAGCTCTCTGAAATCACTGAATAGCTATTTATCCAGCAAAACAGTGAAAAGGGAACCGGGGGGGGGGTCTCTCCTTTCAAAAGGATGCAATGATTAAACGGAATGAACTGTTCTTGGACTGTTGAGGGCCTATTCAGGAGAAGAGTTATAGTGGTAATTATTAACAATAGCCTTATCACTGGGTAAGTCTTCCACTGATAAGCACCATGTTTATGTTAAAAACTTTAATCCAGGATAGAGAACCAGTGTCAACCAATCCACACAAGTGGGCTATTTAACGGCAGTTGCAATTATCTTCTAAGAAACTGGATTTCATGCATAAGCTCTACTGAAGTAGCTGTTCAATCACATCTGTTTCTGGACTAATGGTCGGTATACTTTAAATGGGTTTATAAAGGGGAAGCCAACAGGGGTATACTTGAAAAGTTGGAAAGAATGTGCTCATGGTTGAAAACGTAATTTGAATAACATGATGGTGGCCATCTTAGGGGGGAAGGGATAAAATGGGGGAGGGGAAGTATCAAAAAGTTGGAACTAAATTGTAATGTAATAACAATATTGGGATACAATAAAAATTATTTTTTAAAAAAACATGTTTCTGGACTCATCACTAAAATTCTACCTGATTCATTCAGAATATTTTCAACCCGGGGAACTCTTGCCCCAGGAATGTTATGTCCCCTTACACTACTTTCTAATACAGGATTCAGGCCTTTTTCTTTTTCTGAAAAAGAGGAGCTGGAACTCTCAAGAGGGGATACAATAAAAATTATTTTTTAAAAAAACATGTTTCTGGACTCATCACTAAAATTCTACCTGATTCATTCAGAATATTTTCAACCCGGGGAACTCTTGCCCCAGGAATGTTATGTCCCCTTACACTACTTTCTAATGCAGGATTCAGGGCTTTTTTCTTTTTCTGAAAAAGAGGTGCGGGAACTCTCAAGAGGGAAATGAAGTTTTCAATCTGAAAACTCATGAACTTTGAAACATTCTTTAAAGAATTTTGTTGAAGAGGTTCCGGAACTCCATCCCGGCACATTCCCCCAGGGAAAAAAAGCCCTGGCAGTATTCACGTTGATGCTGGTTTAAGCATTATATGCGACCACTACCAACTCAGGCTAAAATGAAATAGGACACCACTCATTTTGAGAACCCACCTTTAATCAGGACTGTGAAAGGCAGCTCAGGGGATCCTCAAGTTCATTTAACTGGGCTTCAACAATCAGTCATAATGCCTAGTGAAGATAGGCAAGCAAAAGACGGACGGGGGAAATGACCAATCCTGTGGCTGACACCTTGCGTATTATACTTACAGTACGATTGCGACCACTACCAACTCAGGCTAAAATGAAATAGGACACCACTCATTTTGAGAACCCACCTTTAATCAGGACTGTGAAAGGCAGCTCAGGGGATCCTCAAGTTCATTTAACTGGGTTTCAACAATCAGTCATAATGTCTAGTGAAGATAGGCGAGCAAAAGAGGGATGGGGGAAATGACCAATCCTGTGGCTGGCACCTTGCGTATTATACTTACAGTACGATCCTATGAAATCAGTGCATTTCTTAAAAGTTTCCATCTTGAATGGGCCAGTTAAAACATGTCACTACTTCAGAAAAATTATCAGTTTGGGGAAATGCAGTACACATGCCAATATCTGCATTTTCCCCAAGCCACTCAGGCAATCTTCTTGAAACTTTTTTTGAAGGACACTATGGTTTTTGAATATCTCGTGACATCTACTGCATCCTCATTTAGATACAGAAATAGTAGACTTCGAATCTCTCCTTTGCAGAGGAACCCCAAAAGAATTGTTTTTGAGGGTTCCTCCCCACTTTTGCATTGGAAGATACTCCATAACATCTACACAGACACTCAGGTTAGTCTATAGCAGCAAAATAAAGCAATCTTTAACTTTTTGAAGTCTTTGGGTGCTCCTGTCCTCCTGTTTTATTTGACCATAGTCTCTAGGACAGGGGTCCCCAACGTGGTGCCTTTTAGGGCCATGGTGCCTGCTGACACCTTTCCTGAAGTCTGCTAAGTGCTTTTAGAAAGTGGGTGGGGACTGAGTGGGGCTTTTGCCCAGCAAAACTTCTGATTGGCCACTGGAAATTTGATTGGCTGTGCAGAGTTTTTTTTAAAAAGTTGCTTTGGCATCAGCTACCATCACTGCACAGGGAACTCCACTGTGTTACTGAAGGTAAGCTGTGGCAGCCATTTTTGGTTGGCCCCACCTCCTGCGGCAGCCATTTTGTAAGCTGTGGCAGCCATTTTTGGTTGGCCCCACCTCCTGCGGCAGCCATTTTGTAGCTGCACCTACCACACTGTCAGAATCCCTAAGGTGCCTGCAGACTCAAAAAGGTTGGGGACCCCTGCTTGAGAATATCTTTATTATGGAATATGCTCAGTCCTGCTGCAAGCAGAGATGAGGAGTGTGAATTCTCTCTGTGGGTGCTGCTGAGTTGCATTCATATGCTCCTGTTCCTAGTCATCACCCTGAGGACTGACTCCTCAGTGGCAGAAGCCATATTTTCAAATCGGAAGGTTCCAAGTTTCATCCCCACCCATCTGCATCTCTTTTTTTTAAAAAAGGCTTTCAGGAACAGGAGAACTGTGCCTATGAGAACAGACAACACTGGGCCTAGAAGGATCAACGATCTGACTCAATAGAAGGCAGCTTCATCTGTTTAGGCATTTCATGTCTCTGACCAGATGCACAGTGGTGGCTAACAGAATGAAAAGAAAATCTGCTAACAACATTAGTAACATAATAAAACTACACTTAAATATATGTCACAATTCTAAATGTTCAAGAACACAAACTCCTGAGCAGATCTTCAAGGACACCATGGCCAAGACTGAGCGCTTTTCTCACCAAGCCTATCCCATTCTGTGACATCTTTCCTGATGGATTCCATTGACTGTTAGGTACCGCTGCTGCAAAGGAGGACACATTTCAAGACCTGGGAATGATGACCAATCCTCCTCCTCCTAGGCAGAGCTTCAAAGATACCTTCATGACCACAACTGGGACTGAGCTCTAGTCCACAGATTTATATTGTACTAAAATTATATTATTCAGATAGTGAGCTTGCTTGGGAAGAGCAATGCGTTTTAGGAAAACTGCTGTAAACTCCTCTGAGCCCAAGATATTAGAGCAGGACATAAACCTAAATAAACAAATAAATAAATTTAAGTGGCTTTTCTATAAACCATCATTTGTTTCCAAGTCTTCTTTTGAATTTTAGTCATTTAATCAAGTGTGACTTCTTTTCTGAAGCATTTTAGTTGTATAAACAAAAGCAGCATAAATCACACAGCATTTTATTACAGAGTCAGAGATAACATTTTAACGGCAACATGAGTTTCACTTTTATTTCAGCTATTCATACCTACCTGCGTGTCGGTGAAAAGGAAAACCATATCTTTGTCTTCCACCCCTGCCATTTTATATAGCTTCCTAAGGTCTTCGTGAAACGTGTCGTAATTGTAACCACGGCTCAGTTCAATCTGAAAGCACTTGTAGCCACATATGTGAGAAGCCAGCCTAGTTAGGGACTGCTTGCCCGTGCCCCCTACGCCCACCAGCAGGGCATTTCCCCTTTCCTGGCGGATCATTCGAGCAATCCTATGGAGAAAAGAGGGGGGGGGAATTAAAAAAAACAGGTTGCTTACCTGTAACTGATGATCTTCGAGTGGTCATCTCTGCACACAAGCTGGATCGATCGGCACTGTTGCAAGCTCTTACCAGATTTTCGCGCCCAGACCTCGGGCATGCACAGGAACCCCACCGCGTATGCCCAGAGGGTTGGGTGCGGACGTCCCGCCAGTTCCTTCAAACTGCCGCAAATCAACCCCTATGAAAAATGTAGAAGCTGACAGCAGCAGGAAAGGAGGGCGGGTGGTGTGAATGTACAGATGACCACTCAAAGATCATCAGTTACAGGTAAGCAACCTGTTTATCTTCGACGTGGTCTCTGTGCTTCACACCCATGGGAGATAAGCGAGCAGTGGCCTACCTGGAGGAGAGTGCTGGCAGGTCCTTACTGTGTAGCCGAAGACAAGATGTGACATCCCATGTTGGTACTAGAGTTCATACGGACGTCTAGGGCATAGTGCCTTATAAAGGTGTTAGGCGTGGCCCACGTAGCGGCTTTGCAAACGTCCGTCAGGGGAACTCCCTGGAGGAAGGCAGTGGAAGCTGCAACAGCTCGAGTTGAATGGGCCCTGATCGGGCCAGGCAATGGCTGTTTGGCAATCAGGTAGCAGAGGCGGATGAGCCCCGCAATCCACTTTGAGAGGCGCTGAGCCGTGATGCAAGTCACCAGCCTTGATGGTGCGTACGAGACAAACAGCTGGGAGTCGTCTCGTTGGGCGGGTTCTGTTCAGGTAGAACAGGAGCGCACACTTCACATCCAAAGTGTGTAACAGTCTGTCCTCTGAGGATGTTGGAGCCGGAAAGAAATCCGGGAGGAAGACCTCTGCCTGTAGGTGGAATTCTGACACTACCTTTGGCAGGAACGAGATGTGACGGACGAGGCGGACACTGTCTGGCATAAAGGACAAGTAATGCGTGTCATGTCTGAAAGCCAACAGTTCTCCAACTCGCCTCGCAGAGGTGACAGCAACAAGAAAGGCCGTTTTCCACAACAGGAATTTCATGTCGCAAGTTTCGAGTGGCTCAAAGGGTTTCCTCATGAGCTGACGAAGAACTAGAGGAAGGTCCCAGGGAACAACAGGAGTTTTGACAGGAGGGTAGAGATGCAATAAACCTTTTAAAAAACGTTTTGAAAGCGGATGTGAAAACAGTGTGCATACATCAACTTGAACATGGTAGGCCTAAAGTGCGGCCAAATAAACTCTTAACGAGGAGTGGGAAAGTCCCAAGTCAGCGAGGGACAGGAGGAATTGAAAAACTCTCTCGAGACCTGTGGAGGTGGCTCGAGGGGCCTCGTCACCCAAGGAGGAACAAAATCTTTGCCATTTGTAATGGTAGGACTTCCACGTAGTAGGCTTTCTGGCATTTAGCAAAATATTTGCTACGCGGGTGGAAAACCCGTTGACGTTATTCTCCATGCTGTCAATTTCAAGCAAGGTACGTCATGATGTAGGAAAGGGGAGTCGGACAGGAAGAGGAGGTCCTGTGCCGGAGGGAATTGGTGGTATATTCCTGCCGACAAATCGAGGATGGTCGAAAACCACGGTTGTCTCAGCCACCATGGGGTTATTAAGATGTAGTCCGCTCCGTCGCTGATGATTTTGCGTACTACTCTCAGGAGCAGGGGTAGCGGAGGGAAGAGATAGAGAAGTTCCCTGGACCACGGATAGAGGAGACCGTCCCCTAGAGACTGTGTGTCCTTGCCACCTCGGCTGCAGAACAGAGGGCACTTTTTATTTGCCCTTGTGGCAAAAACATCGACTTGGGGAAATACCCACTTGCGGAAGAGTAGGAGGAGGTAGATTGGGTTCATTTCCCACTCGTGGAGACTGAGGCCTACTCGACTTAGATGGTCTGCCTGCATATTCAGGCGTCCTGGGATGTGCGTGGCTATCAAAAAGATGTTGTGGGCGATGCAAAGGTCCCATATCTGGATGGCAAGGTTGCAGAGACGTAGGGAGACCGTGCCTCCTTGTTTGTTGATATAGCTGAGTGCAGTGGTAATGTCTGTGAGGACCATAACACATTTCCCTTTGATCATTGGTAGGAAGCTTGTGATAGCGAACTGTATTGCAAGCAGTTCCAGGAAGTTTATGTGCCGATCTTGTTCGTGGGTGTTCCACTTGCCTCCGACACAAAGTCACATCATGTGTGCACCCCAGCCCGACAGGGAAGTATCCGTGGTCAGGGTAATTTGGGGTGATGGACGATGGAAAGGCGCTCCCTGGAAGAGATTGGAAGGGACAGTCCACCAAAGTAAAGAGTCTCGTAGGTAGGGAGGGGTTAGGACGACGGTATGTGTGTTTTTTGTTGGGTCGTACTTGCGGATAAACCACAGTTGTAGATGACGCATCTTTAGTCTGGCAAAGACGAGGACTGACATACTTGCGGCCATAAGGCCGAGCAGTCTCTGAATTTGGAAAGCCGTGACTGAAGGCTGGGTACGGATGACATTGGTTAAGGAAATTGGTACGGACGACATTGGTTAAGGAAATGATGTCTGCCGCTGTGTTGTGGCAGGTAAGCCATGCATGTCTTGGAATTCAGTATATCTTTGGACTGGATGCAATTGAGACTTCTCGTGATTGACCGGTAGGCCTAGATTTTCTAATAGTGCCAACGTCTTGGTGATGTTTGAGACCAGGGCATTCTTTGAAGGCACTACCAGGAGCCAATCGTCGATATAGAAGTAGATGGAAATCCCCCTGAGACGGAGGAAAGCCACAACCACAATCATAGTCTTTGTAAAGACTCTTGGGGCGCTTGACAGGCCGAATGGTAGGGCTGCATATTGGTAATGCTGTTGACCAATTGCGAAGCGTAGGTATTGTCAGTGGGAGGGGTGGATGGTGAGGTAGAAGTACACGTCTTGGAGGTCGAGGGTGGCCATCCAGTCGTGTTTCCGCAGAAGTGGCATAATCTGTTGTAAGGACACCATGCGGAAGTGGTTCAGAGCCCTTAGATCTAATATGGGTTGAACGCCTCCATCCCGTTTTGGAACTGTAAAATAGTGGGAGTAGAATCCCTTCCCATGGAGACATGGTGGTAGTGGCTCGATGGCTCCCTTGTGTAGAAGGACAGACACTTCTAGAAGAGGTGGGGAAGGGGGTGTGGTGACGAAGACCGATGTAATGGGGTTCTACTGGAATTGGATACGGTAGCCGCGGGACATGATGGATAGCACCCAGTCATCTGTGGTGATATGACACCAGGCGTGAAGTAAAGGAGACAGACGGGTGTGAGCTGACTTGGTGGAAGGGAAGTCAAAAACCCTGTTTGGAGGATTTCGCCTGCTTGGTGCGGGAAGATTGTTGCCCAGCTCCAAAACTGGGTTTTTGGAAGGTGGGTTTTTGGCCTCCTGAAGATGTATGTGGTCTCCGTTGTCTGTCAGGAGACTGACAACTTGGGGTACGCTTTTGCCAGGGTCTCGACCAAGCGCGGGGACGGTATTGTTGTCTCATGGAGGATGACATATCTCTTATCCATATCTTGGAGTATGGAATCAGTAGTGCTGTTGAAGAGACCGAGGCCATCAAACAAGAGGTCTTCAACATACGACCTAGTATCTTGAGGGAGATTGGTATTATAGAGCCAGGAATGTCTCTGCAGAGCTATTGCAGAGGCCATAGTCCTTGAGGGCGCGTCTAGGGCATGTTTTGACGTGTTGATCTGCTGTTTTGCCAACACTATGTCTTCCTTTTGAATAACCCTGGCTGCCTGAAGCTTATCTTTGGGAAGGTGAGTTAGGATTTCAGAAAATCTTTCCCACAGAGTGTATTGATACCTGCTCATGCAGGCTAAGTAATTAGTGGTTTTTACTCCCAACACTCCTGTGGAGTAGAAGCGTCTGCCAAAAGCATTCAGTTTCTTACTTTCCCTGTCAGAAGGTGCAGAGTGTGTTCTTTTGGATATGGAGGATGATGTGACAACCATCGAGTTTGGTTGAGGGGGGGAAAATAAAAATTCAGCTCCGGTTTTCTGGACTCTGTACATGTGATCCAGGCGTCTTGTCGACACTGGGGCTGATGAAGACTTTTCCCAGGGTGCTTTCGCGGCTTCTAATAGAACCGTAGACATAAGCAATGCCAAAGTAGTGGAGGTATCCAGCTGCACGATATTGAAAACTGCATCTGTCACCTGCGGGTGATGTTGGACGACAGAGAGGCCTAGAGAATGGGCCATTCTCTTGACGAGGTCCGTATACGATGTGAGATTGTCAGATGGGGATATGGGAAGATCCTCAGTGACAGCCTGGTTAGGAGACTTGTGGTCAGGTGTGAGCCTCAGAGGCCTCCGTACCCTAATCCTCTTCCGCAGAATCAGAGGAGTCCTTGTCTGGCATTTGTACCGGAGTGACCTGAGTTTGACTGGTTAAGGATTTTGGTCGTACAACTTGGGGATTGGGAGGACGACTAGGTTCCGGATTATGGTGGGAAGGGTCGTTAGCAGGAGGATGAGACAAAGATGCCGAAGGTCTCGACTTGCAGGGCGACCGTGATCTGTGGGCAAAGTGGGATGAATAATTATCCCAGTCGGAATAGTCCGCCGGAGTCAACCATGGCATGGAGGGTGGATAACCCCCATAAAGATACCTAAGTTGTCGTTGATCCCAGGACAACGGTGGTGGTAGTGGGGTAAAAAGACTCGGGGGGATCGACTTCTGGACCGTGGACGTCTCGGAGACAAAGCGGCAGTCTGTCTTTGAGAGCATTCCCTATAATCTCGGTCATCGATATCAACTGATTGAATATGCAGACGTGGAGGGTGACGCTGCGTGCCGCTGTAAATATGTCGATTCCGATACTGTCGATGTTAATGACGGGGAAGGAGATGGAGAAGGCTAAGTCATCCGATACTGTCGATGTTAATGACGGGGAAGGAGATGGAGAAGGCTCTGCATCCATCTGATGACTTAGGAGCTCTACCGTCTCAATATTGGAGTAAGGACGTTCCACTTGGTGTATAGGGGAGTCCAAAAGTTGAATGGTTGGTATCGGCGGAGGGGCTTGGGCCTCCGGTATCAATACAACCGTAGGAGCGGAAGGCACTTTAGGGGCATCACCCAGTGCACGCACCACTACCTTCCCCTTCTTTGCCACTTTCAGGGGCTTAGAGGAACCCTTTTTTGCGGACTTATGCTCCTTACTTGGCTTGGACTTTTTTTTCATCGGCGTGGAAGCGAAGGATTGCACCATCGACGCCAGTGGTTTCTAAGTCGGTTGAGCGATATTGGAGGAAGGCCTCGATGCTGGAGCCGTCAATGTTGAAGGCCTCTCGGACTCCATGATTGACGGAGGATGTAATGCCGCCTCAAGGAGCGCCACTTTCAGGCACGCTGCTCGATTTTTTCTTGTCTGGTTCAAAAACCGAGCACAGTGCCGACAGGACTCAGGTCGGTGAGACTCCCCCAGACAAAAAAATACAGAGGGTATGGCGGTCAGGTGGAGCAAGTTTACTACCGCAACCCTTGCACCGGTTAAAAAAAGCCCCACTTCTTCTCCATAAAAATAAACAGTGAAGAAGAAAGAAAAGGTTGGGGGGGGGTAACCCGAAGGCCAAACTGAGGTAAACCAGCAACCTCCCCCTCAGTGGAAAATAAAGGGTTTTTTAAAAAGTTTTTTAAAGAACAAAGAAAGAAACACTAAAGAAAAGATAATAAAGTGAGGAAAAATCCGAAGAGCTATGAGGCAAATAGCCAAAAAAGCGAACCGATCAGACTGACGAGGAAGAGGTCTTTCCAATGCAGTGGTAAGAAAGGAACTGGCGGGATGTCCACGGTGGGGTTCCTGCGCATGCCCGAGGTCGGGGTGTGAAAATCCGTTAAGAGCTTGCTACAATGCCGACTGATCCAGCGCGTGCACACTAGATCCCATGGGCGTGAAACACAGAGACCACTTCGAAGATTATTGATTTATTTGCTATGTTCACTGACTGCCTTTCATCTATAATTACTCCAAACACAGTTTACAAGAAAAAAGAATTAAGACCGCTCACGGTTAAAACCCTGGGGGGGAAAATGTCACAGCAATGGAAAGAAGCACTAGGTGCGGAGTGGGGGGAGCTGTTCAATCCTTTCTCCCACTCCCTAATATTTCTGTTTACCAAGAAGAAGAAGACAAAGAAGACGAAGAAGACGACGACGAAGAAGACGAGGAGGAGGAGGAGGACGAGGAGGAGATTGGATTTATACCCTGCCCTTCACTACCCGAAGGTGTCTCAGAGCGGCTTACAAACTCCTTCCCCTTCCCCTCCCCACAACAGACACCCTGTGAGGTAGGTGGGGCTGAGAGAGCTCTTGACAGAAACTGCTCTTTTTCAAGAACAGCTCTTATCAGAACTACGGCTTGCCCAAGGTCAATGTGTTAAGGCCCCCCCCCCTCCATTCCCTGGATGTGCTGCATACCACACCTTTGCAGTACTGGAGGATGATTTCCCAAGTGTGCCAAGCCTCTACTCAATGGGTTTTTTTTACTTCTGAAGTTATTCATAAAAGCAAGAGCTCGGTTTTCTAACCACCACTGTTACTCTTTTGAGATTTTGTTAAAAGCGGAGCAGACATACACCACTGCAAAAGATCCAGAGGTTCATATCCCTCCTTGCATTTTGGAAATCTACATTCATACCAAGGGCTGCGTTAGTAGTCTCCAGCCGAGGAACAGCAGTGGCTCTAACAATGAACAGTTTTCTTTTGCTTAAGTCAGAGAGTTAAGCTACAAGCTACATGCACTACAGAGTGTGTGTCTGCCCTTTCGAACTTGTGTCTGGAAATGTCCAGAACAAAAAGCAGCTGTGGAACGGATAAAGAGCTTTCCCTGAATCGCTTCCTTTATATTTACTCAGTTAAAGCAGAAGATCGTAAGAAGAGCCCTGCTGGATCAAACCAGTGGTCTATCTAGTCCAGTATCCTGTCTCACACAGTGGCCAACAAGTACCTCTGGAAGTCCAACAACAGGGCAGAGAGGCTGGGGCCTTCCCCTGATATTGCCTCCTGGCACTGGGATCTAGAGGTTGACTGACTCTAAAGGAGATTCCCTTTAGTCACCATGGATAGTAACCAGTGATTGATTTATCCTCCATGAATCTGTTTAATCTCCTGTGCCTGTTACCACCTCTTGAAGCGGGGTGGGTGGGTGGGTGGGATGTCAGTTTTGCATTAGACACTTGCACATAATGTACAGTTTGACTCCGAGGCTCGGATTGTATGATTCTGAGGCAGCAATATGAATCCTTGTTGGAGGAACAGGCGTGTGCCCACCACATTTAAAGAAACATGGCACCTGGTCACTCTATACAGAGGCACATTATATGCAGAGAGACAATCTATATAACTGCCTCCTTAAAAATCTGGGGTTACTAAATGTGGCTTAAGCACACGTAGGCCTTTGTATGGAGTATGAACATCACAGCAAGATTATCTAATAGAAAGCATATGAACTTGGCCACTGAAGCTTAAAATCTGTATTCCTAGTTCTTGGCATAAACCGTGTACAATACAACAATGTGGCCTGTCTATAAAAATGTACACCAGATATAGCAAAACCCTAATTAATTAATGTGTCTTTAAAATTAACAGTGGTTTATTGTTTGGTGTAGTGGTTAGGAATGTGGACTCTAATCTGGGAGAACCCAGTTTGATTCCTCACTCCTCCACATGCAGCTGCTGGTGTGACCTTGGGTCAGTCACAAGTTATTTCAGAGCTGTTCTCACAGGAGCAGTTCTCAAAGAGCTCTCTCAGCCCCATCTACCTCACAGGGTGTCTGTTGTGGGGAGGGGAAGGGAAAGGAGATTGTAAACTGCTCTGAGACTCCTTCGGGTGGTGAAGGGTGAAGTATAAATCCAATCTCCTCCTCCTCCCCCTCCTCCTTCTTGGTATTACTATTCAATTAATGGCAGTATAATGATATTTTACCTTGAAACATGCTCTATGGCATCTTGGAAAAATACTAGCTTCACCTCCTTAGCACTTGACAAATTATAATCATCCAGATAGTCTTGTAAAATACTCGTGAGCTTTTGCATGTCAGTTAGCTCTTCATATACACGCTCAGCTTTATCAAGACCAACCTGAAAGAAATTACGGAGAAATTTTTCATGAACACCATGAAAAAGAAATGGAAATAAATATTCCAACAGATGCTATCTGCTAAGTTACAGACAATTTTTTAAACCCTTTGGGCAAGAATTGCTGCTGATCTGAAGACATATTGGCAGGTTAAACTTTTGGGGTATGAATCTTCCCCTCTCGGGTGAGACTGCACATGTATGAGAGGCACATTATTCGTTTCACGTGGCTGTAATCTTAGTTCTTTTACATTGCTTATTAGAGGTCTCATTCTATTGGTTACATTGACTTGTACTGTAGAATCCACCTTGAGTTTCAGTGAGAAAGGTGGACTATAAATGGAAAAAAAAAATCTATGTATTCTGCATGCAGTCCGTGCATCACATGTAGGAGAGGATAAGAACATGACACTGAGGATCCCTCTTTCCTCTGTTTCTTCCCCAGCCGCATATTCATGGGACCATCATATATACTGAATTTTTAGACAATTCAAAATCCTTTTACATGTTTGCTGAATGCGATATTCATCAGTTCCAGTATAATCACTCTATCATAATGATTATCTAGAAGTAAGAGGCAGGGACTTAATACAGAGCTAACAAAATGCCATTACTGTGGTGGGCAGCAAGTGGAGAAAAATCCTGGATACTGCAGGATATGGAAGATGCTGGATACCGTTTGATCATGGAAGCTGAGTACCGGGTGTCAGTAGTTGCTTTGTCTCCACAGCAGTGTTGTCCCAGTTAAAGCACTGTGCAGCCTTTTCTTCTCATCCCTTAGCCTACACAGTCACGTGCTGTTTTCTTTTTCTAGGCCACGTTAGAACATGATGGGATCCTGGGAACGGGCTTTAAAGTTTATAAATATTCTCGAAAAGAGCTGGATTTTCTTTTCTTGCAATAATTAGTTTAGAGAACATGGGTGGCGGCTTTTCTAAGCGGTCCTCCCAGTCAGAAAGTTGCTGGCTATCACCCCTACCCTTCTGAATGACAGACAGAATAACTGCTGTCCTTTAATGTCATTCATTCTCTTTTCTATAATTGACTATTGCATTGACTCGCCGTGGAACAGTGTTTGTTCATCAAAGCTAAATTGGAGGAGATGGGATGCAAAACCACATTTATCGAGGTAAATATCTGGCAAATGTTTTTACTGAAGTTTACCCCTCAAGGCCTGGGGGACCGCTCCAGGAAAGATTCCAATGCAAAGGAGCAAGAAAATCGTATCAACATGCCTTTCCATATGCCTGTGCCATGGCCATCTGCTGACCAGCTGTTTGCTTTCTACACTGATTTAATCTGTCAGCTCTGGGGTTGGTTCAGGCCTTACTCTTAAATATGACAGTTTTTCAGAATCTAACGGACATTTCTAATTGGAAAACACCGCAGCCCCTACTAGAGGCATCAAAACCCAAAAGAATAATTTCCTTTTCAAGAAATGTACTGGACTGCCAAAGCGAACCTCACACCCTACTCTTAACTTATTCTGGTAATGTGTAGCTAGTTGTACCAAACTATTCAAGTGAATGCTGAAGATCCTAGCTGGCCAGCTGCAGAGAAGTTCACTGCAGAAGATAACAATAACTGAGTGTTTTAGTAAATATATGATGGAAGGCTGCCAATGACAGTCTCAAACAGGTTCTTTTTGTTGCCCCTCAGGGAAGAATATTTGACACAAAACTCATTGGGTCTCAGTAAACTGTCCTATTTCTTGTGCACTTTAGAGATTAGTCCTCATTGCTGTTCCCTAGTTTGGTGTGCACCTCCCATCAGTTTTTGGCTTTTTAACTGTGTCCGATGGTCAAGGCTTAGGGACTACCATTCAGTAATCCAGATATCCCAGGAAAGAAGGACAGTTGTATCCTTTGGCAAAGCAGTACTTTTTATGCTGCCTGGTTAGTAACTCTTTAGAAACAGGAATGCTCAAAGACTGTACAGACTAGCACCCAACAAGCCATTTCTGTGGGCCAAGTGCACAGGATGCTGGGGATCCATTGGTGGATCTCCAGACATGTAGTTTAGCTGTGAAACTCAATTGTAAGGGAGGGAAAGTGTAGTCTGGATCAGGGTGCACACTGGAGAAGGAGGGAATAACTCTTCCCTGATTGGAAATCCAGGCTACTTTAAGTTCTGGTAGGGAAAAAGACAGGAGTTACAGAAGTACAGGTCTTTTCCCCCTAGTGGGGCTTAAATCTCTCCAGACAGGCCATAAGTCCTCCCTTCTCAGGTTCTGATGTGGTTCCTAAACTCAGATAACACAACAAGTCTGTTATCCTTGGAGCACTAGAATCTACAGTAGCAGGGAATGAAATTTATTTTATTTATTTATTTATCCTTAGATTTGTATCCCTCCCTATCCCGAAGGCTCAGGGCGGCTAACAAGGGCACAAAGTGCCAAGATTAAAACAGTAAAAACACATAATATAAAACAGTAAAATACAATAACAAAATCTCAGTGCTCCATTTGTCACAAGATGGGGTAGATCTTAGTCCCAACGGTAACATTCCCAAAGTCTGTCCTCCTTTTCCTGCCAGGGGCACCTCGCACCCCAAAGGGACCAGATAGTAGTGGTGATGGTGCGACGGTGCATAGGTGGCAATGATGGAGTAGTGGTGGCGGCGGCTCCTACTCGAAAGCCTGGCGGAAGAGCTCCGTCTTGCAGGCCCTGCGGAACTGAGAAAGATCCCGCAGGGCCCGGATCTCCTCCAGGAGCTCCTTCCACCAGGTAGGAGTCGCCACCGAAAATGCCCTGGCACTGGTCACCGCAAATTTAATATCCCTGGGGCCTGGAACCTCCAGGAGATGATGACTCCCCAACTGTAGTGCCCTTGGGGGAACATATGGAGAAAGGCGGTCCCTCAGGTAGGCTGGACCCTGGCCATAAAGGGCTGTAAAGGTAAGAACCAGCACTTTGAAGCGAATCCAGTATGCTATTGGCAGCCAATGCAGCGCTTTCAGTGCAGGCTGAATGCGGTCCCTCCTAGAGAAACCCATCAGCAACCTGGCTGCAGCATTGTGCACTAGCTGCAGCTTCCGGATTTGCGACAAAATCAGAGTGTTATGTGAAGGTTTTAAAAAACCTGCCTGATATTAAAATAGCACCTCTGTGATCTCATCCATAGCCAGGGTGAAATGTGTACAGTTCAATTGTTTTACATGAAGAGGGGTGTTTTTTTGCCACAGTGCAAGAAAACCTTTTGGACTTTTATAAACATGTCAGAGGAACACAGCAACTTTAGCCATAAGACAAACACTGCCACCCCTTTCACTTTCCTAAAGTTCATGATGTTTACACAGCAGATTTCATTTGCTTTACAACACAGCACATTTGGCATTTATACATCAAAAATAAGAGTAAGATTCTAGAAATGTGAAATCCTAAGAGTGGCACTATATAATAGTTTCTGCTGTGGAACACTCACCTTTAAGAAATCCCCGAATAGGATAGGTTTTGATGCAAATGAGTCTGGATCAGCTGAGACTCCAAAATGTTTGCCTGCAATTTAAAATCCTCAGGTTAACTTGATTATTTTTAATCCATCTATGCAGTGTGTTTTTACATGTCAGAGGTGATCTATATTGGTAGAGTAAGCATCCTTACTGGCCATATCAGATAACATAGAGTAGAAATATTGTTTATCTTCGTTGCTGATGAGACGGTCATGAAAAACTCTCTGGCACTCATGGCAGAAAAGCCTGAATATCTGCATCTGATCTCGAACTGATCCAGAGTCGCACTGCAAGATGCCTGTAGTGGAAAAATACAGGAATAATATTGTCACCTGTCAGCAGTCAATACTACTAAAAAAAAATCAATTAAATGTCAACCTTCCCCACTCGAGTCCTTGCTGCAACCACACTTGCAGAGTAATGACTTATTTGACACTGTGATTATGTTCCTCAAAACAGAGTGCGAAGCAATGCTCCCTCTAAGCTGTGGAGTCTTGTGAGCACAAATTTCTACTTTGTGAGCTACTGGCATTAAAGGTGTGAGTGAGCGATTTGGCTAGTGCATAAACTGGTTTGCTCTGGAGCCATCCTTCCTGAGCTAAGACAGAAATGTGTGAGCCAGAGGCTAAAAAACTGTGAGCTAGCTCACGCTAACTCAGCTTAGAGGGAACACTGGTGCTAAGCGAAAGAAACTCTGTAAGAGGTACTGATAATGCTTGTTCTAATAGGGATGCAGTCACAGTTATCACCATTTCTCGCATATGAATCACATACGAGGCAGCGGCTGGGGGAAGGGACACCACCAGATCATTGCCTCGGTCAGGCTCTTGGGCTGGGGTGTTCCAGGAAGCCTCTTCAAGGTCATTTCCCACATCACGGTACCCTCCCAGGAGAGCTGCAGACACCCTGTGAGCCCTGCTGCTCCCACTCAGGACCCCACTCCTCAGCCCTGCAGGGCTTTCACAGACCTCTGGCACAGTTGGGAGGTGCCCGTCCCACTCACAGGAGCACCACATCACTTTCAGCCCAACCAGACGTACTTCCAGCCAGACCGACTGTGTTGCGGAGCTGTCCCCCAAGCCCTTCCTCCACAGGAGGAAAAATAAACAAAATTTATTTACTTCATTCATCTGTCGACTTTCTTCTTCTTGAGATTCAAGGCAAATTACAGAATTATAAAAGCAATATAATAGAGACCAGTACGTTATGTACAGCAACCAATGCAGTAATATTGGATCACACCATTTAAGAAGAAGGAAGAAAACAAGTATAATTAGGGTTGCCAGGTGTCCAGTTATGGACTTGGGCAGTCCGGTATCTTCACTGACTGTCAGGGGGAAAAACAAGACAAAATACTGGACACTTAAATGTCTGGTATTTTTGCAGTGTTTTCCCCAGGCAGTCAATGAAAATGCTTGTCTCTGTCTGGGTGAACTGGCAACCCAAACCCAAACAGAGACGCCTGCTGTTTGGGCTTGGGGCAAGCGCTGCCAAGGCAGCCTGAGTGCAAAGCAGCAGCCTCTGGGTGCTTCTCCCGGGTCAAACAGCATGCTTAGGGTTACCATTCCCCCAGTGGGGCCAGGGGATCACCCGATTTAAGGGACCCCATCTACTACAGCCCAGCTGTCTCGCGGGGAAGCCCCACCCCCTAGAAGCCCCCTCCTGATGCTGGTGCAATGACGTCACCCAGAAGTGATGTCATCATGTTTCCGATGTTGGGGGCGATGCTCTAGGTTTTGGGCAGAACTCTATGGTTTTGAGGCCCAAAAACCCCATAGAGTTTTAGTCAAAACCTAGGCTGAGGCCAGACTGGCAGTATAAAGCACGCAGGAGGCGGGGCAAAAAGACCCGGACCAAGTTGTGCCAGGGATTCCTGATCACACTGCACCTACTGATGGAGCAGCATACCGGGGAGGAGGCGCAAGGGAGCGTTCGCACAGTTGGCCCGCCCCGGCAGAGGCGCAGCTTTAAGCAGCTGTTTTCCACTCCGGCGACACTCGCCTATCCGCACAGGCGCAGCAATGTGGCTTGTTTGCGACTTTTAGCACGCACACTTCCGGGAAGCGGGATCAATGCGCTCTCCAGGGTTTTGCTACTGCTTTCACCCGCTACTTTTTTAACACGGTAGGGAATTGTCATAGGACGGGTTGAGTATGGCTGGGGAACGCCTGACAGCTGTGGCTGTGTGAACTGGCCCCTTTAATCCGTTTGTGAAATGTGGCTGTATCGGGACAAACTGCCAGTCTGAACTCAGCCCTAGAGCGTCGCCCCCAATGTTAGAAATGCGATGGTGTTACTTCTGAGTGATGTCTGGCGCACACCCCAGAAGAACTACAGGGACAATTGGGACTCCCCCTGCTGGTAGCCAGGTGGGACCTGGCAACCCTAAGCATGCTTCACGCTGTTTGCACTGGGAAGAGGGGAGGCAGAGCCAAACCTGAACACAAAACATCAGCTGCGGCTGCTTCACCTTGGGGCTGGGGGTGCTCCTCCCAGTGCAAACAGCGGGAGGCAGCGCCAAGCCCAAAACAGGAGCTTGCTGCTGCGTCTCCACACTGCGTCTGGGTGCTCCTCCCAGAGCAAACAGTGTGAAACGTGCCGTTGGCGCTAGGAGGAGGGAAGACAGCGCTGAGTGCAAAATAAGAGCCACTGCTGTTGCTTTGCGCTCAGGCCGGGTGCGCCTCTCAGCACAAACAGCACACTTTGCACTGTTTGCTCTGGGAGGAGGCAGAGCAGAGTCTCAGTATGTCCAGTATTTTCTAAAAATATATAACCGGCAACCCTAAGTATAATGGACCTAATAAAGTAGAAGGGGTGCAGGAAAAAGAGAAAACTGCTGAATTTTTTCCCACAGGCCACTGAGACGAAAACCCTGTCCTCAATATAAAAAGCGCCCTCCCACACCATTCTGTTCTGCCACATTCCTATTCCCTTTGTAAAAATAAATACTTGAGAGACACTTACATGAAGGTTAAAGGTAAAGGTGAAGGTTCCCTTGCTCGAAAGCCAGTCGAATCCGACTCTAGGGTTGCGGTGCTCATCTCCGTTTCAAAGCCGAAGAGCCAGCGCTGTCCGAAGACATTTCCGTGGCCATGTGGCCGGCATGACTAAACACCAAGGCGCAGGGAACGCTGTTACTTTCCCACCGAAGTGGTACCTATTTATCTACTTGCAATTTCTTGCTTTCGAACTGCTAGGTTGGCAGGAGCTGGAACTAGAGATGGGAGCTCACTCCATCATGCGGCACCCGGGTCTCGAACTGCTGAACTACTGACCTTCCACAGCCTGCAGTTCAGCGTCTTAACCTTTTGAGCCACCGCAGCTCCAACATGAAGGTTAGTTAGGTAAAAAAAAGAGCCCTAATGATAACTGAAGATTCTGAGGACTGAATCACAGAGGCACTGAAGACTCAAATGATGGCTTGCTTGTGTGAATGGGCCACCACAGAGCATTCGCCAAGAAAAGAAGTTGCGTATCACCTGTCTGATCAAGCACAGTACTTTTTCGAGTGGGAATAAGAGTATACTCGTGATGGACATACTACTGGGGTGGGTTGGGGAACCTGAATTCAAAAGGAGCCTCTCTCCTCCTCCCCGCAGGGAGAAAATAATAAGCAGAGCAAATTGTGCAGCGTTTGTTTCAGCATGGTATCTCTTCTCGACTCCATTCATTCACTTGCAGGAGGGCCCTGTGCCCAAAACTGTTGCCAGGCTGTGATTTCTCCCTTGAAAAGGATGAATGAGCAGACCGGGAGAATCATCAGGGGTTGAGTGATGGTGCGATAAGGGATCACGTGATGTGCTAAATGAGCCCTGAGTATCTCGCATATCTGGCTTCAGATTGAAAAGTGACCCACTGAAACATGTGAGACTGCGCCGAAACCTGAAATACACTAATAAGGTAAGAAACTCCGCTTCTACAGCTGCAAGATGCATTGGCAATAGCAGCAAGCCCTCTAATGCCTTTTATGCGACATGCTGAGCAGGGCTGGGAACCGTCTGTTTACGCACAGAAGGGAGCCCGGATTCTAAATATATGCACAGCAGTGATGGAACACACCAGACAGAGCTACGGCGGCACCCTAAGAAGAGACTGCAGTAACTGCCTCTCATTACTCTGGATGTCAGTGACAATTCCAATCTAAAAGCAGGACTCCCACATATTGTCTGTCTGTCTGTGTGCTACACAACTACTGAGATGGAACGTAAATAGAGATGAAGATATCAAGAATATAGACAGATGAAAGTCAGTTCATCCAATTTAACATCCTGCCTTCAGCACTAGACAACCCTCAGAAGACTGATACCCATATATTTTCCAAACCTGTTGTGCAACAGTATAGAGACGATGTTGGGGAATCCTACGAGAATCAAAAATGCAATCACTTTATGCTGTGAAGCATGAGATTTTATTTCCTTTACTAGTTTAAAATGGATAGCTACGGCGACTAAAAATTGTCCGGCTACAGTAAAGCAAAGCAGCTGACAAACTCCTGGAGCCTAAAAATCCAAAGGGTGGCCTTACATTAGGTAAAGGTAAAGGTTCCCTTGCTCGAAAGCCAGTCGAATCCGACTTCTAGGGTTGCAGTGCAAAGAGCCAGCGCTGTCCGAAGAAATTTCCGTGGTCATGTGGCCAGCATAACTAAACACCAAGGTGCACGGAACGCTGTTACCTTCCCACGGCATTTGTTGTTGTTGTTTAGTCGCACAGTCGAGTCCGACTCTTCGCGACCCCATGGACAAGATCTCGCCAGGCCCTCCTGTTTTCCACCGTCCTCTGAAGTTTGCTCAATTTCATGTTCCCACGGCATAGTACTTATTAAAGTAAAGGTAAAGGTTCCCTTGCTCGAAAGCCAGTCGAATCCGACTTTAGGGTTGCGGTGCTCATCTCCGTTTCAAAGCCGAAGAGCCAGCGCTGTCCGAAGACGTTTCTGTGGTCATGTGGCCAGCATGACTAAACACCAAGGCGCACGGAACGCTGTTACCTTCCCACTGAAGTGGTACCTATTTATCTACTTGCAATGTCTTGCTTTCAAACTGCTAGGTTGGCAGGAGCTGGAACTAGAGATGGGAGCTCACTCCATCACGCGGCACCCGGGTCTCGAACTGCTGAACTACTGACCTTCCACAGCCTGCAGTTCAGCGTCTTAACCACTTGAGCCACCGCAGCTCCATAGTACTTATTACAATTGTTCTAAAGCGTATTCTCATCGTTACTTTAGTTGCTCTCACTTTTTTATATTAAAGAAGGGCACACACAGACGGCAGGGGAAAGCTCTTCTGTAATGAGGCATTCCAGAATTTTGAATAGCTCAAAGATTTTCCCTTGAAGAGAATATGAACTTCCTCAAAACCATATCGCATAGATGTATGCAATACATTTCAGGTTTTGATCACAATGGAAACCACCGGATGATGATGGCACAGAGCATAGACCTTGAAATGGGCTGTTCTGTGCAGGACTCATCACAGATCGAGAAACAACTGGGTAAGGGTTAAGAAGGTTAAACTGAATGTCAAAAATCTCTTGTTTTAAAACTCTGTTCTTACCAAGAGTAACCCAGGAAATTGAGAATTAACACATTTCACGTCTGGCAACTAGCAAAATACAACAACAAACAGTACAGCACACAGTAGGAAATAGCAAAGAAAAACAGAAAACAACTGTGGGAGGCATGTTTTGGTCCTGTTACATAGAAGCAGCCTTTAGAGGTGCTGACTAGAATTTAGGAGACCTTGCCCAATGTTGAAGAAACTGAATAGCATTATCCTATAAGGAAATGGAATGAGGCTCCCAATAGTTGTTCTTTGTTCCTGAGGAAGGCCCAGAAGTCTGAAAAGCTGAAAATTACCTAGGAAAAGTGTTGGATATTTATCTTGTATATTTATACTTTGGACTCTGTATTTTCCTATTATGGATCTTGTTGGCATCTGTATTTTCCTATGAGGGATTATATGAATCGATTCATTTCAGACTATATATATGTTTCACTTTGTTAAAGTCTCCTTTTGTATATTTTCGGCGGGATATTTAGCTCACAGTTGTTTTCTGTTTTTCTTAACGAACAAAATACCCCAGTTTGGACTAGAATGCAGCAGCAGCAGTGGAAGAAGGTAAGTAAAAGAACACTGGAAGCCAACTTGAGGGCCAAGACTTTTTTAAGAAAAGAAGAAGAAATTGGATTTATACCCTGCTCTTCGCTACCCAAAGGAGTCTCAGAGCGGCTTACAAACTCCTTCCCCTTCCCCTCCCCACAACAGACACCCTGTGAGGTAGGTGGGGCTGAGAGAGCTCTGACAGAAACTGCACTTTTTCAAGAACACCTCTTATCAGAACTATGGCTTGCCCAAGGTCAACCAGCAGGTACAAGTGGAGGAGTGGGGAATCAAACCCCGTTCTCCCAGACTAGAGTCCGCGCACTTAACCACTACACCAAGCTGGCTCCTTTAACAAGTCAGGACCAGGGAGGGGGTGATTCAGGGAGTACATGCTGCTCAAAAAATTGGATAAATATACTCCAAAGGTCATTTCAGCTCTGCAAAACAGCATTAGGGGAAGGCAGGGGACCCTCCTCCACTCGTGCCACGGTCCCAAGCCAATTACCACCCCACCCCCCTTCGTTTAAAATAATGTTTCCTACAGCTGCTGTGTGGAGACTCGTTAAAAAAATGTATTGTGTCGTTTGGTCATATGAGTGGATTCTCATAGTCATATAGGTGTCTTACAGTGCAGTTCAAGGCAGAGACACACTCTTCTAAGCTCACAGATGTTAGCAGGCTTAGAAGGGTGTAACCGTGTATAGGATTGGACTGTCTGTACCTCTAGCACAATTTAAACATTCCTATTTGGATGCAGCCTTATATATTTCCATCTTGAAGAGAGATATTTGACACATAGCTCCTACTCGTGCATATCTACAGTCGGGCTTTGAGTGCATAAATATTGTGGAATGTTGTAAAACTACTGGCATTTGGCATTGCCCGCTGCTAATACGCACACAGAAAAGGGGCTCCAGAGTTACAGCTGCTATGGGGAGCTTTCAACGTCTATATCCAGCTGAGCCACCAAATATTACACTAGTGCGATTACTGGTGTTATACATTTCAGGTGCCACTGTGGACCACGCACAGCGCTCCTGGTTGAGGTACCAACAGCACAACTTTAATTTTACACACTACTGCACTCGTGCTTTCTTCCAGAGAAATTCTGCACTACCGGTAGCTTATTCTTCCCACGTCTCTTCAGATTGGTTTTACTTATTGAGAAATGCACATTAACTTCAAATGTATGCAGTGTAGTGCTTGTTTTCTCCCCGGCCCACAGCAACATGCCAAGATACGCATACAGACCACACACCATGTTAGAAAACACACAATGCTGAAATTAAGAGAGCAAAACAATGGCTGGGGAGAACTTATTAGACGGGCGAATGACTGACAATGGTAGCACGAAACAGGAATAGAAAAATGTGCCATATGGAAAACACACATCTTACCTTGCACGCACTTTGACAAATCACGTAAATTAAATACATAATGGGATTTTGCTGGTGTCGGGAGAAGATCAATGCTCATTCTTTGATATATTTCAACAGCAGCATCCACTATGCTTTTTGCAGTCTGCTTAACTGCTGAAGAGAATTCAGCCAAAAAGCCTTTTAAAATAGCCTAGACAAAGGGGGGAAAACATTTAAAAGCAAAGGAAAAAATGTGTCTTGTGACAGTTCCTCTTTTATTCTTTACAAACCAGCTGTGACTCCTAAATTTTTTTTTTATAACTTGAGCTCTTTGTATCTACAGAAAACAACTCTGTATCGATATAAGCAGATTGCTTTATTCATTGGGTGTACGTGAGTTGTAGTGCACACACAGAGCTTGCATATCCACAGAAGTTTCCTTGCCAGTTCCAGTGGATGCACACTGATGTGGGTAAATGGACCCATGGAATGGGAGACCCAGGCATGCAACAGCACCGTGTGAGCACTGTAGTACCCCACAAGACTCTAGATCAGATAAATGGTTTTACTAAGCTACACTGCCAAAATGGCAAAGGTTTCTTTGGGGTCTTGGGTATCTAGTTGAAAACAGCCCAGGGCCCTCATAATTATCAGGTTCTACGTGTCCTGGATTGTGGCTCAGTGGCAAAGCATCTACTTAACGTGCAGAATGTCCCAAGTTCAATCCCTGGCATCTCCAGTTAAAAGATCCGGTAGTAGGTGATCTGAAAGACCTTGGAGAGCCACGGCCAGTCTGAGTAAACAATGCTGACTTTGATGGACCAAGGGTCTAGAGATGTAAAATTTCCGGAAATTTTGAAGCTCGGAAAAAAACCCTTTTTTTTCCAGTTTTTTTTGGGGGGAAATGGAAATTTTCTTTTTTCTTTTCTAGACTGAAAGTCATTCTGTTACTTTAGGAACATAAAATATGACTATGGACATTTTTACTTGGCATGAAATTATCACAACTAGCATATTAAAAATATAGTGTATCCAAACAATTATTACAAACAGAATACCCACCCACATGCAAAAACAAAACTGAAACCTTTTTATTTTCTTCTGACAATAGCACCTCCTAAAGGAAGAAATGCATCTTGTTCTTGCATTGGAGAGTTCAGTTTGTAACCTAGGACTGGCTTGTCCTCAGTGCACAGAAATTAGATCAATCTGATACCATATATATATATTTTAGAAATGATTTGGAAAATATTTGAACACCTTGTCTTAAAATATTTTATTCATCATGTTAAAATAAAACGTTCCATAATCAATTTCTTTTCTTTTCTTTTTTCAATTTTTTGGAAAAAAACAAAAAAGGCTCCAGGAAAAAAAACGTTTTCCCCCCAAATTTTTCCAGTTTTTATCCGGGCCTTCACATCTCTACAAGGGTCTGATTCAGTATAAGGCAGTTTCCTGTGTTCATGTGACATGTGGAGCCCAAGGCTGCTCCTGCTGGTGAAAATAGCAATGGAAGGGAAATCTGAAGCCCCACCTCCACCCTTGCAATGCTCAAAGCTGTACTGACTGGCAGGGCACTTTGAAAAGGGAAATCTCTCTGTGCACATGTGACTGTGAGTTGTGTCACAACTTGTGTTGCTTGTATTGCTTGGATAAGCGCTAAGCCGGTGCACAGAACATGTGTAAACCAAGGAAATACCCAATGTACAAATGTTACAGGTTTAAAACTCTTATATATAAATGAATTCTAACAGCATTTGAAAAAGGTACTGAGGCTAAGCTTTGAGAAGACTTGCATTCTAAGCCTAACACTGGCACAAATGAAGATCTGCCTCAAATTCCTCTATGCACTGGACCCTTAACCTATAGTCTATGAGATGCAAAAAACCCAGGTTGCTTACACTGTAACACTTGGGTTTGGTGCCTGCACATGAACCCGACCTCAGAGAATGTCAGAGCAAGCCTGTAACATTTGGCGTGCTTTTCTCCAGTGCTCTGGGGAGCAGGCATCAACTGTGCATGCCTGGAGTGGAGGAGAAAGTGCCCTCCCACTCAGTTCCTTTGGACCAGCGCCAGTAAGCCCCATCAACTTAAAAGGTAAGTGATCAAGAGATGCCACCAGTGGGGAAGACTGGGCAGGTGTGTGTGACTGCACAGATGACCACTCGAAGGTCATCAGTTACAGGTAAGCAACCTGTTTATGTTCTTCGTGGCCTCTGTGAAGTCCCACACTTGGGTTGGTGAGCTGAAGTGGAAAGGACGGAGGTTGCTGGCAGCCAAGTCAGAAGGAAAAAGCCAGAAAAACCTGGTGACAGAGGCAGGCTTTTCCCATGCATCTTTGAGGCCCTCTAGGTGGACAGGGAGCATGGGAAGAATAACAGCTGGAGGTAAGGCGGCTTGCACTATTTTATGCATGATGTCAGTCACCTTGGGGGTGTTGGTGGTTATCTGGACCTGCAATGCCTCTGCCATCTGCTTAATAAGCTCAAGGTAAGCTTTGGAGCCCTTGTTAGGAGAGACGGATCCTTGACAGGCAGTGTCGGATCCAGGGCTTGTGTGAGTCAGCTCATCCTTTTCAGAGTCTGAGTCATCCGTCCCAAGAATGGAGGGTTCAGAGGAGGATGTCTGCAGATCTCCCAATAGCGGGGAGAGAGTATGTACGCAGGATGGCTCGACAGTCAGGCTGGAGGACGTGTGTGGAGCAGATCTCGGTGCCAAGGGTGCAGATCGCCATGGTGCGAGCGAGGCAGCTGATCAACAGGGTGGTCGGCATGGAGTGGAACTCTGGAATCTGAGGGTCATTCGGGTGAACCCAGAAAGATGGTGTGGGGAATTGTAGTAAGCCAGCCCATAAGATGGGAAGCGTTGCCGATGGTATGGTCAACCACGGTAAGAGGCCCTATAAGAATGCTGAGCGGATCTTAAAGATGAGTGGGTTCACGCCTGTTAGACACGTCTTGACTGGTGACAAGAGTGGGACTGATGTTGGGAAGGAGACCTTGAACGCAATGAGTAGTCTCTTCAGTTGCTCCCGTGATGTCCAGGGTAATAGGGTGATGCAGAGGCTCAAGCATCATGATGGTGCAAGCTATGCGAGCAACTCTGAGAACGGTGTTCTGGTTGGGCACCGGTGAAGACTTCCCGAGTGTCAGAGGGATGGTGCGAGTCCCTTGAGCCTGACCATTGTATTACCTCTCCTGAGGGAGAATAGCTACGCACCGAGGGAGACATGAAGGGAATGGTGATAGTCCGTTGGCCTGGTGGCAGTTGTTCAGTTGCGGGTGACGAGTTGACCGGTGTCAAGATAGTAAAGGTGGCCGGGAGCGAGGTCGTCGCAGTAGACGTGCACTAGTCCGCCAGGGATGTGTCGGCTGAGCAGGCAACTGGCATTGAAGTCGAAAGACCCAAAATGATTAGTGGCTGCACGGGTGTCGGTATTGAGGCTGGGGTCTGCTTCGACTTCTTCAGCTTCAGGTCTGAGCGGTTCGATTCCAAGAGCCACTTGGTGGACTTTGTGTGCTTCTTCACAGCCAAAGACATCGAACCCCCTGAGACCACCGAATCTCCCCTCAGAGGTGGGGGAGGCAGTGCCACCTGGGCTTGCTTGGTGAACTTGGCACAGTGAGGGCAGGAATCCACCTGATGTTCCTCCCCCAGAGGTCGTGGCTGTCAGTAGATGGTAGTTCAGAGCAGCAGTGATGACACTTCTTTAAAAACACAGTCCCTTCTGTACGCTGTGTCCCCAAGGGGGGGGGGAGTGGGAGAAGAAAGCTAGTTGAGAAAGTCTTCTTTTTTAATATACAGACGAAGAAGAGGAAGACAAAGGTCAGCAAAAGAAGAAGAAGAAGAAGAAGAAGAGATTGGATTTATACCCCCGCCCTTCACTTGGAGTCTCAGAGCGGTTTACAAACTCCTTTCCCTTCCCCTCCCCACATCAAGGAGCTCAGACAAGGAGAGAAAGCGATGAGGTGCAGACGATGTGGCGGTCAAAAAGGAACTGTGTGGGAGGGTGCTTACTCCTCAGCCCCAGGCATGCACAGTCAATGCCTGCTCCCCAGAGAAAAGTATGCCAAACATTAGAGGCTAGCTCTGACATACTCCAAGGTCAGGTTTGTGCGCAGACACCAAATCAAAGTGTGGGACTCCATGAAGAAGATCTGGATGTGGTTAGCGATGAAGTATGCATTTTGCATTTATTCATTTATATCCCACTTTTCTCCATCAGGACTCAAAGCGGCTTAGAACGTTGTTCTCTCTTCCTCCATTT